AAAAAGTGTCATAATTTCTCTAACTAGGGAGTATAATTGGTATATACAACTTTATATGGGTTTTAGGTAATAGAGCATGATGATTCGGTATTTGTATATGTTGCAAAACGATGACCATGTTTCTTGATTTTTAGTTTTAGGCAGTATGTATAACTTCCCTTTATGGAAGAAGAGGAATTACCTTTTTTCCTCACTATACACACGTCTCTTCCATGCCTCATATTCTGAATATGGCTATGGCTTAATTTTGCTATGCACTCTTTATACTTTTATGACTATGTAAATGCTGTTCCTGTCTAATCCATGGAGTAAACTAAAATTAATTTTCATTCCTGCCCAACTTTTTCTGTTCTTTGGAATTAATAGTTTTTAATATTCCTTATTTTCTTGTTTGCTTAGTTTTTCATGTACTTAACATTTCTTGAATCTCCAGCTTGCTACTAGTTGTCTAAAATCTTTTGTCAAAACAGTCATCAAATATTCTATTAATTAATTCTTCCTTATGTAGCTTCTGTTTTTCAAAATTTTTTTTTCATTTTATTCATTTTTCATTTTAAGTTTAGTGTCATGTTAGAGGCTTTCCTCAGGTGTTTGGTAGTCTTTGATTTTCTGCTCATGTTTGAGTTAGAAACTAAAAAGTCCAGTTGATGGGGTGCCTGGGTGGCTCGGGGTTAAAGCCTCTGCCTTCGGTTCAGGTCATGATCTCAGGGTGCTTTATGTCACTGTCTGGGTCATTCCTCTTGAGCTATTCAGATTCCCCAGAAATGACTCTTATTTTTCTGGAAGAAAAGACCCTGATACTAGCATGCTGTCACGTAGACATTGACTACGCTTTTGTTTACTTACCGTTCCTTTTAGAACATTGTTCCTACCCTCAGCTGTGTCTCCTGTCTTCCTGTGTATAGATATCCTTTCTTTTACCCTGTCCAAAGTAAGCCCAAGGTTTTCTTTCCAGGAGGAGGAGATCTGGGGGAGTCTAACTGCTTTCTCAGCCATCGGGCTCCCAGTCTTGGTGCTTCCAGTTAGCCCTGGTGCTCACAGCTCCTGAGTTGTTGGGAGCTCTGCCTCATAGATCGGGTTTTTTCTTGGCTTTCTTTACTGCTAGTTCAGTATTCAGTCTTTTCAGATCTCCTAAGTCTTTGCTGCTTGTCCATCTGTTCTAAAACTGAAAAGTTTTTGGTTCATATTTCTTCTGTTCTCCATCTTTAAGATTTTATGTCATTTTAGTGTCATTTCATTGGTGTTTGGGGTGGGGGAGAAAGATAGATGCTTGTGTTCCTTTCATCATCTTTACCCCATAGTATGTGCTCTTAATCAGAATATTGGCTCCCTCCTGGAGAGGCCGAGTGTTAGTGGAGCATATGGCATGGTGGGATAAGCAGGTAAAACTTTACCCTGTGCGTTGATGAGCGTGAGTGATTAATAGGGAATGATCTGTGTATAGATGTGCGTGTGTGAAGAATAGGATCTGAGTCACACTCTTGAGTGAGCTACGAGGCAATAAATAAAGCTCCTTCGATAACACAGATATCATCATAACACATTCTTCACAAGGTTAGGTCCAAGTGCTTGAGAGGCAGTTGCCTGGATGGGCATTTCGGAAAGCATTCTGGCTGCACAGGTTAGAAGGAAACAAAACGGCGATGTGTCTAAGTGAATAGCACCTCCGCCCCCTCGTGTTAAACTGTCTGCATTAATTATACAGCACGGATCACCTGTTGGCTTCTCCCATTTAATTACTGCTGATCCATGGCATACTGGAACGTTTGGACCTCTTAATAGTTCTGCTAGAAGCTGAATATAGTTATGATTTTTAGCTCTTCAAACTTTGTTCCAGTAAGCTCCTCTTACAAAAATGGGACAACACAAAAGATTTGTTATCAAAGAAAAAAATAGTAAGCCTTCAAATGAACTTTATTCCTGTTATGCCCCTTACATATGTGCTTGTCAACTTCAGGTGACTTACTAGAAATACATGTAGCTGGCACAGTATAGATTTTGTTCTTTTGACCAGAAAGATTAACAAAATAATTATACAGCCTGTAGACATGATTATCTGTACTGCAGCCCCTCAGTAATCTATTAAGAGTGCCAGGAGTGATCCCTGTTACTAATTATGAATTCCTGTAGTCTGGGTATTAATTGCCTGGAAGACTGTGGGTAAGTTATCAATGTAGCTATGTCTCTGGGAACATTACTCAGTGAATTTCATTTGTCATGTATACTGTGCTGAGAAAGAGTTGTGGATGTACCAATCCATGAGGCTCAGGTTTCCAAAAGCAGCGAGGAAATCATATTTAGTAAATATATAACCTTACTTTTTCATAGATTCTAAGCTCACTTAAGGTGAAGGTGGGGGAATGTGTCATCAAGCTCCTAATATGGGTTAATTAAGATGCTTACCTGGCTCTTTTCCTCATGACCGGGAGTTTGTATTTACTTAGAAGTTTTTGTCACTATGTTATACAATACTTTTAAGAAAGGAGTACCACAGGTTTAAACTAATAGTGATACGGTTCATATGTCTGAATAGGTTGGGAATCGTTTTTCTATTGCAGTACTATCCAGTAGAACTTTCTGTGATGATAGACATGTTTCAGATCCATATTGTACATAGGAGGGTAGGCACTGGTCACTTGTGGCTCTTAGGCACTTGAAGTATGATTAGTGTGGTCAAGGAAGTGAATTTTTTATTTTAATAGCCACATGTGGCTGGTGGCTATTATATTGGATTGTGTGCATGTTGTCTAGGTGTTACAGTAGATAAATGGGGCAGAGACGATAGGAGGGGAAAGACTTGACAGCCAAGCTGCTAGGTTTGAATGCCTTAGGAATTTTGAAAAAACAAAGATGGCCCTATCTTAAATCAGAGGATACTTTTTTTGTCCTTCAAGTTTTAATACACTCTGTTAACCCTTTTAGTGAAAAGTAGCGGTCACAGAGACAGTCTCGGTTTTTCATTATTGTACAGTTCTTGAAATGTTTTAATGTGGACCTCATTTTTCTATAATGCTTTAATTGGAAATACCTTCCTGAAAAAAGACAAAACAGCTAAAAGAACATCAATATATGTGACTGTCACTATGTCACAAGAAATATAACTGTCGATAATTTGAAAGAGTAAAACATGTGGCTGGGTCCCATAAAAAATAGATCTAAGTGTGGAATACCTTGGTGGCTCAGTCGGTTAAACATCTGACTTCGGCTCAGGTCATGATCTCAGGGTCCTGGGATTGAGCAGAGCATCAGGCTCCATGGTCAGAAATCGAGGTTGTCCCTCTTCCCTGCCCCGTCACCCCCACCCCGTTCATATATATGCTCTCTTGTACACACACTCTCTCTCTCTCCTTCTCTCAAATAAATAAAATCTTTAAAGGAAAATAGATCTAAGTATAACCGAGTATAAGTTCTTCAGGGTGCTTTAAGTAATGTAATAGAGGACATAAAATTTGCTATTAAAATAAATATATGGGGTGCCTGGATAGCTCAGTTACTGAAGCATCCGACTGTTGCTTTCCTCTCAGGTGATCTCACGGTCCTGGGATTGAGCCCCACATCAGGCTCTGTGCTCAGAGCAGAGGCTGCTTCCCCTTTCCCTCTCCCCCTGCCTCTCATCATGTGCATGTTCTTTCTCTCCCTCTCTAAATAAATAAATATTTTTTAAAAATACATAAAATTAATATGTTAGGATCTAGAGTAACTTGAGAAATTCTGTTAGTGACCAGGTCTTACATACTGTCTTGGCATACTGGAACGTTTGGACCTCTTAATAGTTCTGCTAGAAGAAAAATACAAAAAACGACCAATAAAAGGGGAGACAAAAATTTGAAGGACCCTTATCTATCTCTTTCTGATTTCTATGTTTAATCCCTTCAAAATATCATTCAGGTTACTGGTTATGTGCCTGCTGTATGCTAGACATTTGTGGCTAGACTGGATGTGGAGAGGGGGAATAGCGAATGGGACAGCGACATTTGTAATCCCAGACTGGGGTAGGGGCGTGGGCAGCATGCATACACAATCACAGGACAGTCAGTTAAGTGCTCATGGAGTGTGAAATAACTAATGGAGGTTGGCCAACTTGGAGTTGGGAAATGCTTTCAGATGAGGTGGCTGTTGATCCGATTTTCGAAGAGTGAGAATTTGCCTGCTTACTGTGCAGTGGAAGGTAGGTTAGAATGGGTGGGGAATTTCATGCTGGCTGTATATTTATCATGAAGGGGATGAATCCTTCTGAAGATACAGATACTATAAGAAGAGGTGAATGCTTAAGTCTAGGGTGCTGTTTACTTTGTGGTTGTGAATTCTACTTTTGCCAGAATACTGCATTTTAGAAATCACCAGAAGTTCTTCAAAACTCTTAGACCATTCAGTTTGTGTCGTTGTTGCAAATACATGTATGAAGGGGTGATGAAGATAGAAATGGAGAGGAAATTCAATATTTTGATCAAAGATAGTGCCAACATTTGAGTTGGTGAAGGATGGGAGCTATCTACATTTTCGTTTATAACTGAAAAACTGATGACCTCAAAAGATAGATTAAGAATCGTTGGGTTGGGGGCACCTGGGTGGCTCAGTGGGTTGAGCCTCTGCTTTCAGCTCAGGTCATGATCCCCGTGTCCTGGGATCGAGCCCCGCATCAGGCTCTCTGCTCAGGAGGGAGCCTGCTTCCCCCCCTCTCTCTGCCTGCCTCTCTGCCTACTTGTGCTCTCTGTCTGTCAAATAAATAAAATCTTAAAAAAAAAAAAAAAAAAGAATTGTTGGGTTGTTGATAGACAACTTCAGCATGCTAAAAAAAAATGTAATGCTAATTTCACTGTACTGTAATTAGTCTCAAATCTTTTTGGTAAGGAGTTTTAAATCCTATTCAGTGTAAATATGTATAACATTAATAATAGGATACATTAATCTGTAACTTCAATTTAGTTAATTATCGAATCCTTTTCTGAAGTAGACAATATCTTTGAAATGTGAAAATTTTCCATTTCTGTTTTTTGAAGGTGCAGAAGATAAATGCATAATAGAAGGCCACAACTGTACGTTTGTTAGTGACTTGAATAGAATTAAACCTTCAGGAAACACAGAAACACTAGGTAGGTGTTTTTTTTTTCCTTTTTCTTTGTTTTTAATTGAAATAGACCTTCCTCTTATTTTCCTTGTTTTATTTTTCTTACAGAATCACTACTGAAAGAATTTTTTGAATATTTTGGCAATTTCGCTTTCAATAAAAATTCCATAAATATTCGACAGGTAAATAATATTTTAATATTTAATGACTAAGTGGTCTTCTGCTGTACTAGTGTTTAATTAGTTTTCAAAGCGCTCTAACATGTTTTTATATTTCAGCTCCACAGTAAGAGATACTAATAAGGAAATCGATGCCTAAAGGAGCTATGTAAGATCATTCATCTAGTTATTTGGAAGAGCTAAACCCAGCTCTTTCAGCATCTAATACTGCCTCCTTCAAAATGTGGAATATATTCTGAAAAATCTTCTGGAAAAGATAATTTTATATACACTTCTTACTAAACTGCTTTTGTGTTCATGGAAGAAGTAGGATACCCAGCCGTTTTGATTTTAGTGATTCTCTCAATTTGAGCTCTAAATTTATTTGGGCAAATGAATTTATGGTTTGGATTCATATGAGTAGCTGGAATAAGAGACTTTTTTTTTTTTTTTTTTAAAGAAAATCCAGAGCAGAATCCTAGGCAAAATTTTTTACCAAATGAGGGATACTTGAGGTAGCTCTTTGTTTGGGTTTATTCTGTTTAGCATTTGGGTACTCGGTTACAACCATTGTAAGATTGGCTACATAAAACATATAATCAGATACTCTCTTTTGTTGTTTTATTTACCTCTTCCTTTTTTCATTCTTGCCTCTTATCCTGCTTATGGAGATTTTGTTTAACAGCAACAACAACAGAAAAGTGTGGGGAACGGAGAAGGAGGGGACACAGAGCTCTGGAATGCAAGCTCTTATGGCTTAGATTCCATATGAGAGGAAGGTCACTGATCACATGAAGTTCTTTATCCTTTTTGTCCTCTGACCCCTGGGCCTCAGGGGTGATGGATAGGCAGGACCCCTGCTGGGCAGGGCTTGAGAGCAGTTAGGGAACAAAGAGGTGCTGCTCACATTGGAGAATCATGGCCCTGTGTTTTGTTACTATTTTAGTAATATGTGTGATATCATTTGAAAGAGAAGATTACATATACTAATGCATCACTGCTGGTCGGATGAATCACAGCTTTAGCTTTTCTTTTATTTATTTATTTATTTTTTATTTTTTTAAGATTTTTTATTTTTATTTATTTGACAGAGATCATAAGTAGGCAGAGAGGCAGGCAGAGAGATAGGAAGGGAAGCAGGCTCCCTGCCGAGCAGAGAGCCCGATGTGGGGCTCGATGTGGGGCTCGATCCCAGGACCCTGGGATCATGACCTGAGCCGAAGGCAGAGGCCCAACCCACTAAGCCACCCAGGCGCCCCAGCTTTTCTTTTATTTCTATGGGGTGTGGCCTTACCTGTCAGCGGCTTATAGAAGTTGGATCTTTAGGCATATAATAGAAAACTTGCATTGTTTTATAATGAATAATGAATAACCTTTTGTTCCTTCTCTTCCTTTCTGACTTAATTCTTGGGAAACGTTAGTTACTGTATTTAACTTAAGGATATTCTAATTTTGTGTGCTTCTGTTTGTTTTTAGCAAGTCTCAAAAATAAGTGTGTCTTCATTTTATTTTCTGTTATTTTTCACTTTTTTCCCTTCCTTGCTTTATCCTCTTAGGTCAGTTGATACTTTAAAAATACTTCTGTTGATTGAGTTAGTCTAGATAACTCCCATCTGAGCATCATCATCCATAGCTATAAACCTAATTTATATTTCTCTAAAAAAAAATCGCAGAACTACAGTGGTAAAACCCTGTCAGAAGTACACACACACACACACACACACACACATGACGTGCACACATACCCAGTTCTCTTAGGAAAGCAGTTCTTTACTCTGTAAAGTAAATGCTGGTATTTTCCCTGTCTTTGACATTTTATTAGACTAAATTGTTCTAGCTGAGCCTTTCATATATTTATACATTTTTTCTTCTTTATAATAATCTGCAGGGAAGGGAACAAAACAAACCTGAGTCTTCTCCCCTGCATATTCAGAATCCTTTTGAAACTTCTCTCAACATCAGCAAAAATGTAAATCAGAGCCAGCTACAAAAATTTGTAGATCTGGCCAGAGAAAGTGCGTGGATTTTAAGTCAGGAAGATAAAGATCGCCCTTCTCCATCAAGTAATCGGCCCTGGGGGCTGGCAACGCTGCTGCTTCCTTCAGTGGTAAATAGTGTGTCTCTTGCCAAGAAGAAAAGGAAGAAGCCTGCAAGTGAAAGAATTAAAAATTTGCTGGAATCCATAAAAAGTAGCAGTCAAGAAAATGACACAAACACCAATGGGAAAAGAACAGTTAGTACTCAGGCATAATGGCTCCTCCTTCGCTTTAAGAACTGGTTTCCCCCGAGAACATGCGCTTTGGGGCGCCTGGAAGAACGGGTGTGAAACACTCATAGATGCCCACTGTCATCCGATGTCCCTTTTCATGATCTTCTCACTGGGCCTCCTCCTCGTCTGAAGTTTTGGGAGCTTTCAGCCTGATAAGCCTCAGATCCATCGGCACCTAGAAGGTCTGCCCCAAGGAATGGGTGACAGAGGATTGGAATGCACTTTAGATAAACTATACAAAGCAAGAGGTAAAAAATCAGTTTTAGAATCAAACCATTATTGATATCAACATTAGGCCCCGGATGGAAATCATTTAAAAGGACTTTGGGTATGTACATATGTAGTCATTGAATTTAATAAAGCTTCAGAATTTGCTATTACCCTTTAGTATGTAGTTTTATATTCTTCAAGCAAAGTATTCTTAATCACCTGTAAATTAAAACAGGTTTTCCTGTTTTATTTCATATATAAATTAAAGCAGGTTTCCAAAAAGGTTCATGTTTTTAAAAGATACGAGTGCGGATACGTCAGTACATTCACGGTACTCTAAGCCAGATACATAAAAATATTGGTACATTGTATTCTAGAATGTTAGGTACTTTTTCTGTCTTCAAAAATAAAACCCTGTTTCTACTATATGATATTTGCAGTATTCTTTTTCTTATTTTTTGAAACCTCCTTTCTTTCTGTTTAAAGCAGGTACGTATTGAAATATAATTTCCATACATTCCCTGTGGACTTTCAGGTTTAGAAGCCAGCAGAGTAGTGCTTCAAAACAGGGGACTTGAGCCAGAATGGCTTCCCGGTAAATTAATAGCCTCTCAGGGCCCCCCGTTGTTTTCTCTGTAAAAGGGGGACAATAATAGTGCCTGCTTCTCAGATTTTTGTTGACAATTACATGAGGTGCATAGGAAAGTGCTAGGTCAAGAGTCTGACACATTATATGTGTTACTTTTATTTTTTATTTTTTGTGATACGTAAGTTATTCTTGCTACTCAGAATTCAGATTTACAGTTTAGGTCAGAAACTAACGAGCTCTGCTTGGGATTATTTTGGGGGGCTCACTAATAGAATTGTTATGAAGCAGCGGGGTTCTCAGAGTGCTCATGTGGCTCTGCTGTTTCGATTTTACATCCGAAACCAGCAGACAAATAGCTGTATTCTCGCATATATGTATGACGTGCTTTTATACAGACAAGTAGCAACGTTCTTTTATACAGTTCTTTGAAAAGCCATTTTTCATTTGTTCTTCAGTTAGGTTGATTCTTTTGGGCTAGAATCTGTACTAGGAATTGAAAAGAGGTTTAAAAAGCATAATTACATTAGAGTTTCTAAATGAGACGATCCCAGATATTTGATTGGACGTTTTCTTTTTTAGGTTGGTGTTAAGCCTAAAATGATCATTTAGGCACATAAAGTGTGTTTTGGCTTTTTTTTTTTTTTTTATAATCTATATAACAACTTGGACACTGTAGGTTTGTGTTACTTTTCAGGCTGAGATTAAATTATGTGATGAATTTTAAAAAGATCTTTTAATCTAAAGTTTCGTTCAAGTCAACTGAACATAGACTACAAGCAAATTTAATGTTTTCTCATAAGTTCTTTGTATCATCTCCCAAATTCTTAAAACGTGGTTTTTATTGCATATTAGAGAGAATCTGCACTTGTCATTGCCACTTCTTAAAACTGATTGTAGTGATAAGGTCAGGAAGAAGATTTGTTCAGGGTGTTTCTTTTCTAGCTATTTGTTACTCAGCTTCCATTGGGTCGCCTTCATCTAACTTTTGCTAAGTATGTGAAAGAATTTGGATATGAGCCTACCTAGATCAGATCAATTTCACTTCTACTTCGTTCCGGATTTTATGGTCCACTGGTATAATTCCAGTCCTTAGGAAATTAGAGAATTGGCCAGAGGCATTCTAGGAAAAAAATCTGTAATCTCTCTCATTCACAAATCTCTAGGGATCATAGAGGAGAAGAGAAAATACAGTCGAAGTAGGACTTCCTGCTGTCATTACTACGAGCCCCTTCTTCCTTTTGCTCAGGGGCTATAGTCATGTGAGAACAGAATTAGAATTGTTTCAAGTTATGTCATGTTCCTAGAAATTCCTTGGCCTTTAAAGTACAGCTCTGTTCAATTCCTTACAGCCTGCTGGTGCCACAGTAGGGAAAAGCTACATTTGCCTGTGTCTTTTAAGCCAGCACAGGGAACATCGCAGCAAAGCCATCAGGAAGAGCAACCAAGCAGTCACAGCTTGCCCATGTGGCAACTTTGCACTTGCCAGAGTCTGGCATTCGGTTGGTGAGTAGCTGTCCTCAGTCTCCGTTCAGTCCCTCCGGGAAACCTTGTAGGAGTGCAACATTCAGAACGCTGTAGAAACAAATAAATCATTTTTGCCTGAGATGATCAAAGAAAGCCTCACTGATGAATGACTCAGGTAGATCTTGAAAGTACAGGTAGACAGAGAAGGGCATAGGGCTTATTGTTTGGGAAATCACAGGACAGCCCGAGGAGGAGTCAGGAAGAGGGAAGAGTATTTGGTGAACTGGCAGTTTGGGTGGGTTGGGATGCAGTTTTTACCGGGATGCTCAAAAGAGTTAAGGTTGGGTGAGATCACGAAGGACTGCCAATGGCAATTTAAGGAAGTTGAGTGTGTTTTCAGTGGTAAGCTACTGAAGGTTTTTGTGTAAAAATAATAAAAATTAAGGCAGTGCTTTTAGATGATTCATCTGTTCATACCCATTAGTTTTAGATCAGTGCTCCTTTTTTGCAAGTTTGAGTTCCATGGATCTCATCATTAAGTCAGATAAAATTTGGCTGTTCAGTTTTCCGTGAAGGTCCAGAAGCTGACCCTCATATACCTCAGAGGAGTTTTTCTTTTTAATATTTAATAAGGAAGTAAGGTTTAAATAGTTTTTAAAGTTATCAGGAAATATCAGGTCCTGACACACAATTTCATGTAAAGCCTTATTAATGAAAAATTCTTTGCAATATATACTTGGAATGAAAGTATAACCAAAAATCACTTTTCACCTTGGGATGATGTTGGAAAATTTATTTTAAATACTTGAAAGGCTTATTTTGGTTTCATGCAGAGTTCAGTTACTTGGGATACATAGTCCAAAGAATATAAACATTACAACGTTCCTCTGGAATTCCCATGGAACAACTCCCAGAAAATGTCTCTTTTATATAGGATCTTTAATCGTAATATGTATAATACAGGATGTGTAAAATCACCACAAGTTATTTAAAAATATACTGTTCATATGTCATCTGTGGTATGTGTATCCCACCCACCTGTAAGAACTCAGTGGAGTCAAAGCTAGATTAAAGGCATTATTCACTTTCTCTGTCCACTCTTAGATAAATGCACTTAAACTTATCCTCCCCTGTGGTAAAGTTTCGAAGCTGTTAGCACATAGAGCTAAAGCATTTTAAAAGAGGGTATTGGAAAGATTAACCTTTAATAATAAATGTTCTACTTTGAAGCCAGTATAGCATGGCAAAATACCTAATTTAGAATAGGCCAAGGCAAAATTAACAAAAAATATAGGTTATAGATTGAAAACTTACTGTGATGGAATGCTGTAAAATAAAATGGCTTCAAATTAATGACAAGATTACAGATCAGGTGTGTGTTACGTTTTGGGTTACCAAAATTCTTTAACTTGCTAAATTGTTAGGTATGGTGAAAGTCTTACATTTTTGAAACTTTTCCTGTTACAAAATTACTGGTATTTGGCTTAAATTAATACGTTTTAATGATTAGAGTTTTAATGAATCTTTGCTGAGTTTACGCATGGACTTAGAGAGTGGCGTAAAATAACACATTGATGTGTTCTCTGCCCGAAAAATTAATAGTAAAAGATGGATTATGAAGCTGACGGGTGTCGTGAGATGGAATTTGAAACTCAAAGCCTGTGTTTTTTTTGTTTTTTTAATTCCATCTAGCATGTGTATTGTAGGATGCCTGGATGGCTCAGTTGGATAAGCAAATGCCTTTGGCTCAGTCATGATCCTAGAGTCCCAGGATCGAGTCCCACATTTGGCTCCCTGCTCAGCAGAGACTTACGTTCTCCTTCTGACCTCTTATTCTCTCTCTCTCCCATTCTCTCTCTCTCTCAAATAAATAAAGAATTAAAAAAAAAATTTATCATAAATCTATAAATACACACATCAATATAAAACTTGCACAAGCTTCACGTAAATTAGGAGAGGTAATCAAGACATGAACTAAGCTAATGGCAACAGAAATAGAAAAATTTAACCAAACAAAGGGGGAAAAAAGAGAGTCCGAAAGGATTCCAAATTTGAGCCAAGCTTCACCTTGCTATTCTTCATTAACAATTTCGGTGATTGAGAAGGGCTGTTTGTTAATGATTTATGCGCTAATGTCCCTTCATATCCCCTTCTTTCCCATTCTGTAATGGACCCCAACAGTAAACATTTTTGGAGTTTCCCTGCTTGATTTCTTGGCATTACTGATTATAAAATTCAGTTATCAATACTGACTGGTTTCCTTTAACTTTGTGTAATTGAGTTTTTTGAAAAGAGAACCATAATACCTTTTGCATATTTTTGTATTTGACTCATTCACCTTTCTTATTTTTATTTATTTTTTAATTTTTCTTCATGCACCTTTTTTTTATAAAGATTATTTGAGAGAGAGAGAGAGAGAGAGCTAACACACAAGTAGGGGTAGGGGCAGAGGGAGAGAGGGCCCCCCCTGAGCAGGGAGCCAGATGCGGACTTCTCTCCATACCCTGAGCAGAAGGCAGACGCTTAACCGACTGAGCCACCCAGGCACCCCATCATTTACCCTTTTTTTTTTTTTTTTTAAAAGAAGTAACTACATTTGTATTAATGGTGAGCAGTAGCACTTTGCTTATTTTTGTTAACCAGTAAGATGGGTTCAGATAAACAGTTTTCAGGTAACACTGATTTCCATAGCTTCATCATCCATTCTGGGCATATGACAAGACCAGTCGTTGTTGTAGTCCCACCTGCTCGTACTTGATCTTGATTGTGCACTGGGCTTTGTGTCCTGTGTCCTCACCTCCAGTGCAGCTTGCATTAAGTTAAAATGATCTTCTTCCTTAAAATTTACTTAACCTCATAATTTGCCTTTTTCTGTGGTTAGTGCCATTATTCTCTATCACCATAGTCCAAAGCCTGGGACCTTTTAGGCTCTGTTTTTTCCCCTTTGCTTGGTTAATCTTTTTCTATTCCTGTTGCCATTAGCTTAATTCATTCAATTACATCTCCTAATTTTTTTTTTTTTTAAAGATTTTTTATTTATTTATTTGTCAGAGACAGAGGGAGAGAGGGTGAGCGAGCACAGGCAGACAGAGAGACAGGCAGAGGCAGAGGGAGAAGCAGGCTCCCTGCGGAGCAAGGAGCCCGATGTGGGACTCGATCCCAGGACGCTGGGATCATGACCTGAGCCGAAGGCAGCCGCCCAACCAACTGAGCCACCCAGGCGTCCCTACATCTCCTAATTTAATGCAATAATCTGTTAGCTTGTTTTTTAACCTAATGATTTCCTTCTTCTATCTACCCATTCGAACCGTTAATTTTCAAATGAGTAGGATTTAAGAGAGACTTGTTATGATAAATGAATATTAAATTATGGGTGTGTATTTGTTATGTTTCTGAGAATACCTTGGAATTGTACTTAGGGTCATTCTGAATATCCATGCAAATTTTTGTACAGGTGTACGAAAAAAGATAGTGATTAAACGTTTTAATGAGGATTTTTTTCTGTAACATCCAAAAGGTATTCTGTTTATAAGCTCCACTGATTTCTTAAAGTTTCCAGACTTCTCTAATAATGATACTTAGTCCCCAAATACTGGTTCAATAGGGTCATTCATTCAGTAACCATGTTTACTATGTACCAGACACCGTAAATCAAGACACCTTGCTTACTAAGAGATAGAAGAGGTTTGAATTACTGGAAAAATTGATTTTTGTTCTTGTATAGAAAGGCTTAGTATAAAGGTAACAGTTTTACTCATATTTATCAATTAATAATGATGCAATCAATTAAAATCCTATAAGGATTTTTTTTTTTAAGATTTTATTTATTTATTTGACAGAGAGAGATCACAAGTAGAGAGGCAGAGAAGCAGGCTCCCTGCCGAGCAGAGAGCCTGACGTGGGACTCGATCCCAGGACCCTGAGATCACGACCTGAGCCGAAGGCAGCGGCTTAACCCACTGAGCCACCCAGGCGCCCTCCTATAAGGATTTTTAAATGTGAAAGTCATCAGAAGTGTCTCAAAGAATAATCATACAGGAATAGCGAGGAGAAATTTTTAATTTGGTAAATAACTTACTGCAGTATAAGACATAAGTAAGTGAAACACAGTGCTGCTGGTTTGTGATAGACAAGTCAATGAAACAGCCCAGAAACAGATTCAGGATATATGTGGGAATTCAGTAACCTAAGCACAGCATTTCAAATCAGTAAAAACATGGATTATTCGATAATTTGTGTTGGGACAGCTGATAGCTATGGGGGGGTGCAGCTTGATCCCATTCTCACTCTTATAAATTCCAGATGAGTTGGGATTTAAATGTGGAGGTGGAGAAAGTGAAATCCTAAAGTACTAAAAGAAACCGTGGATGAACATTATAAATGTGAAGTAGGGAAGTATGTCTTTTCAAGTATGACATGCACTGATAAAAGAATATATTGATAAATTTGACTACTTTAAAATAGAAGCTGTGCCACAAAACAGCCATAAACAAAATGAAGAATTCTGGCAATTACTGAAAAAGGACTAATCTTTGTAATACATAAGATCTACAAATCTGTAAGTAATAGGCAAAAACAAAGACTCCACAGAAGCAACGAAAATGCACACGTAAATAGTAAAGATGATCAGGTGTACTAATAATTCCATAAGACTTTATTGTGGAGAATTTTGAACAAAGTAAACTGAAAAGTACAATGAATTTGCATGAATCTGTCACTTATTTCAACACTTTTGGCAAATTGTGCTTAATTTATAACCCTGTTACTTGCCCTTTTTGTATGAAGCAAATTTCAGTCATTCTACCATTTCATCTGTAAATCTGTTTCTCCAGAAGATACTTTTTCTAACAAAATCACAAACCATTATTAAATCTAAATGGAACAGGGAAAAACAATAATTCCTGAGTATCATCACATCCGATTAGTGTTCAGGTTGTCTTACAGATCTTGCAGTGGTTTTCCCCAAGGACATTCATTTGAGTCAGGACCCAGTTGTCCACATACTCTGGTTGATGGGCCTGGTTCTGGAGTCTCTTTAATCTTTAGATTTCCGTTTCCTCTCCCTTTGTCCTTGCAAGTTACTGAAGATAATGGTTTGTCTTAAGTTTCCCACAGTGTGGATTATGTGGATTATGTCAGCACATATGATTATGTGCTGTGGACTTGTTCAGCATGAACTTAATGACCTAAAAATAATTTTCACCAGTTTTAGAAAACTTTCAACCATTTTTTATTCTGTATTTTCTGTCCTTTTCTTCATCTTCATTCTGGATATTTCTTTCTGAAACCGTGTTACAGTTTACTATTTTTTTTTCTTAAGCTGTGTCTAATTTTTAAAATCCATTCACTGAATTATCTATCATCTTTAGTAGGTTTTGGTGTTTTTGGGTTTTGTTTTTTTTTTCGAGTTCTAGAGTATCCAGTTGGTACTTTGAAATTGTTTTTTCTAATTTTCTGAAAAAAAATCTGTCTTGTCTGCTTTTCTTGTATTAAACACTCACTTTAAAGTCTGTGGGTGGTAATTGGGTATCTGCTGCCCTGTGTTTCTCCGTCTTTTATGGTGTGGATTTCTCTGCTAGTAGACCTAGGTGTTATTTTGTGTGTTGACATTGTATGTGAAAGAACAGAGATTATTTCCCAGAGGTTGGTGTCATCCTTCAGAATCGATTTAGTTTTGCTTTCAGAAGGAGGTAGGAATACTTAGGATCTTGAATCACCTTAGTCGAGAAAGGGCTTTGAGATTTTGAAGTTGGTTTCATTTCAGTTCCTGATTTTAGTTACTCTTTACTCTCAGAGCGTGTCCCCAATCCAAAGCCAGAGCGCGGCTTTTACCAGCGTCCTTTGTCCTTGGTAAGCCCCGAACTTCAGTTTTTGTCCCCTTTCCTGTGAGTCTTTCGAAAGCTCTACTCAGCTTACCTCATCAGCAGATGCCCCAATGCGAACAGTAGCCCCAGATGCTGGGCTTACCTGAGTCCATTTACTTCTCTACTGTCCTGTAATTTTTCACTGCCTTCTTGGCAGTCGGTGCTTTCAAGTAACTGTCCTTAGTTTTGCCCCCCTTTTTTAGAGTTGGTGTTTATTACCTGGTGTGCCATTACATTGAATTCTTTGTGATTCCAGCTTCCCATCCGTGTGTGTGTGTGTGTGTGTGTGTGTGTATTTTTAACCTTACAGAAGTGATAAATACTATTCATTTCAAACGCTTCCTTGTAAGAAGCTTCCAAATGCTGTCTCACTTAACAACATGTGTTGAGTTGGGCCTTGGGTAACCTGTCTGCAGTGAATGCCTAATTCCCCAGTAAGAAAACAGGGCCCTGCAAATGCTGTTTCGTGCTGTGCTTCAGAAATTGCTTTTATTTCTGGACTGTGATTATTTCTGGACTGTGATTTCCTCATACAGGATTTTGTACATGCCAGTTCAAAGTTTAAATTTATGCCATGTGTGAATGTGTGCAAAATGCCCAAATAAGAATGGGGAAAATATCTTCTTTTTCCAACCGTCTTGAGACGCCTCAGACAACTATGAAATATAATTTTTCTTCCAGTTTTCCAAAACATTTCTCTGGGTTGAGACCAAGAATGAGGCATTTTTGGCCATAATGCTTCTTAAAATTTTTATGATTTTATACGAAGAAATTTTCTTTTGAACTTTGAGCCTATGTTATTATCATATCTTATACGTGAACATAAACATCTCAGTGCATCTTTATATCAGTGAAATAATATAGGTGTTCTGTCTTATTTTGAGTCAGTGCCCTCATGTTCAGCCATTTCATATTTGTTGTTTTTCAGCTGTCTTATCAGCCTGTGTTTGCGTAGGTAACAGAATTACAATTAAAAATAACCATCATTATTTTGACTTTTCATTATTTTTGGTTTTCAACTTGTGTTTGTGATTTGCTGCATATATTCTAACATTACTGTATTGCCAGAGACATTCACACAGGTCTTTAAATATTTAATAAAACCGTTTTTGGTGAAAACTGAAATTATTTGATGTTTTTATCTTGATCGCTCTGCACAAAGACCCAACTTCAAACTTGCCCTTGATGCTTCAGGGCGAAAGTCGGGTTAAGCAATATTTGAATTTAAATGTGGTTTAAATGTTTTTTAATTCTGAAGCCCTTTGTAGTTTTTATTTTCCAAGCAATATTAGCTGTATTTGATCTTCTAGATGAAGAAAGATTTGACTGCAGTGCCATCCTGGAGTGAATTTTATTCATAGATTAATAAAATCTGTCCGGCATGATTCAGGAGAAGGTATTTTAGGCCATTAAATTTAGTTACATAAGCTACAGTCTGTTTTAAATTCTGTGCAACTAAAATCTGGTTTGCTTTTTTAAAAAAAAGTTCATTACGCTGGGAAATGTGGAGTATTTGTTTTCCAAAACCATCAAAAGCATGCTCAGTCACTCATTTAGGAAAATTTGGAAGTACTAGTTTTAGCCTTTCCACTTAATGACAGTCGCTGTCATTGTCTAATTTTTTTTTCTCTGTACTTAAAAGCCTTAAGAACATGCTGATGACTCATTTGACTACAAGCTTTTTTTAAGTGCCTCTGTGGTTCAAATGCTATTCTTTTTCAGACAGGAAGTAAACTATAAGGTAAAGGAATCTAGCACCCTACCTGACATATATTTGGTAATCAGTAATTCCCCCCCTCCCCCCACTGCAAACCTCTACCACACACGCATTTTTAGCTCATGATTTTAAACGTGTTAAGATATAAAAACAGTAAGAAGAGTTTAAGAGCTCAGCTTCCATGTAAATCTTTAAACTTCTTTTTCTAAAACAAAGATTCAACATTAATAGATGATGTTTTAGGCAGAATTCTGTTGTGGCCCCCAGGATTCCCAGGCCCTGGAGTATATACCCTGTAGAACCCTGTGTCCTTCAGTGTGATCAGACCTGTGACTAGGATGGAACCCTCACTGTCTTGGTTGGGCTGCATTAAACGTCACAGGTGATTGTTGCATCATGCCTGTGATTATGTTATATGATCTAAGATCCTTTTTCTGACTGGGGAGAGATTCCTGCTGGCCTTGAAGAAGGAAGCTGTTGTATTGTGGAGGGCCACGTGGCTGGGACCCAAGGATGACTTCTGAGAGCTGTAAGCTCTCCCCAGCCACCAACCAGCAAGAAATCAGGGACCTCGGTTCCAGACAAGAAAATAAAGACTGTGAGATAATGAATGAGTAGGCTTCTAAGAGGTCCCCCAGGCCTCATGTGAGATCATTTCCTGGTCAACACCTTCATTTTATTGAGCCTTCTGAGACCCTGAACAGAAGACCAGTTAAGACCAGTTTCTGGGGGCGCCTGGGTGGCTCAGTGGGTTAAGCCGCTGCCTTCGGCTCAGGTCATGATCTCAGGGTCCTGGGATCGAGTCCCGCATCGGGCTCTCTGCTCAGCAGGAAGCCTGCTTCCCTTCCTCTCTCTCTGCCTGCCTCTCTGCCTACTTCTGATCTCGCTCTGTCAAATAAATAAATAAAATCTTAAAAAAAAAGACTAGTTTCTGAACCCTGAGCCACAGAAACTGTGAGAAAATAAATACATTGTTTTAAACTGCTTAATTGGTGGTCATTTGTTAGACAGTCACAGAAAGTTAATACATTTGGGAAAATCTCTCTTTTTCTTCTTCTTTGGGAAAATTTCTCTCTTCTTCTTTTTTTTTTTTTTTTTTTTTTTTTTGGTGAAAGTTAATTATCTTAACATTGCAAGTATCTGTGTTCAGGACCATCAGTGAAAGGATGAAGACGGAGTAGGTGGACTCCTCGGTAAACAAAGGTTACTAGATGTGGTAGGCCGTGTAATGGCCCCAGCTGTGTTTACATTCTAATCTCCAGAAACAGATTATGTTCCTTTACATGGTAAAAGGACTTTGCTGCTATGGTTAAGTTAAAGGTCTTGAGATGGTAAGATTATTCTGGATTATCTAGGTGGGTCTAATATGATCCAGGGTTGGCCCAATATAATCACTTACTAGAAGGAGAGAGAGGGAAGAAGATGTGATGATGCAATCAGAGGCATCTGAAGATGATACGCTGCTGGCTTTGAAGATGGAGGAGGGGGCTGTGAACCAAGGAGTGTAGGTACTTCTAGAAGCTGGAAAAGACAAACATATTTTCTTCTAGAGCCTCCACAAGGAATACAGACCTGCCAACACCCTGGTTTTAGGACTTCTTGATTGTGCTGCTTTAAGCCAGTAAGTTTGCAGTAATTTGTTTGGCAATAGGAAAATAATACACAAGGTATCCGAGAAACACTTCTAAAGTGGGAGAAGCCAGAACAGTGATTTATGGAACATATTCCCATCCAAGAGGAGGGACACCTGAAAGATAGAAACTTTCCCTAACATGCCTGTAGAAACAAGCGAATGTGTGCATCCCTGAAAGAACAGAATGATACATATACATATAAACATGCAAAAAAGACCTTAAAAATAGAAATATAATAGTATTTTAAAAACTCAATATAAGGGTTGGTAGATGAAGTTGAACAAATTGCCCAGAAAGAATTAAAAAAAAAAAAAAAAAACAAGTAAGAAAAGGTAAGAAAATTAAAGGAGCAAAAGCAGTAGGTCCGAAACCTGAAGAGTAGAACTTCCATTGAGAGGAAGGAAGAAACAGACGGAAAAAATTCATTAAGAGTGTTTGCCAAAGTTGAAGGATATGAGTTTTCAGGTTGAAGGTGTTCGCTGAGTGACCAGTAAAATGGGTAAATGAACTCATCCTAAGCCACATCATCATAAACTTTGATGGAAGCAATTAGAAAGTTCTACAGGCCTCCAGAGAGAGAGGGAGTGAAGAGAAGGAAAGATCAGTACAGAAAACAATGTCTACCTACAAAGGAATATTATAAGGAATAAGAATAGCTTTGATCTTTTTTTCTTTTTTTTTTTTAAGATTTTATTTGACAGAGATCAGAAGTAGGCAGAGAGAGAGAGAGAGGAGGAAGCAGGCTCCCCGCTGAGCAGAGAGTCTGATGCGGGGCTCGATCCCAGGACTCTGGGATCCTGACCTGAGCTGAAGGCAGAGGCTTTAACCCACTGAGCCACCCAGGCGCCCCATCTTTGATCTTTTTAACAGTAACAGAGAAACGAGGTAATAGCCAATGCCTTCCAAGTTCTGTTGGACAAGGAATTCTGACCCAAAATTCTGTGCCTCAGCAAGCTGTCATATAAATACTGTTGAGGTAATTTTACAGGAGTGTCATTTCTCACAGTATCCTTGAAGGATGT